ATAATTTCCTCATAAACTACACTTAAGAAGCCGTACAGAACACAGCTTTACGGTTACATTTAAGTATTCTAAATCATGTATTGTAAGCAACAATACTCATGTTCCCATTTATTATCATTATCATTAGAATGATGGAATTCGAGAATGTGAAATACACCCTTGTCAACAAGATTAAGACTGCATTTAATGAAATAAGAATATCTGATATATTCTTGTTCACCAGTTCAGTACTGGGCAGAATAATATGGGCTCAAAATCAAGAGAAAGTGACTGGCCAACCGTCAGTCGTAAAATGACTTTGAAACGAAGCAAGGAGTAAAGAGGAACTTTGTAGAAACGAAGCGGTCAGATATGTAGAAGACGAAGGCGAATAGTTGTCATCACCATGGTGAGCCTTCGGTAAGGCACTGGTGTATGGTTTAGAAGTTATGTGTTTCGAAGACATGACTATTTTTGTGGGTGGAAAAAAAATGTAAGAAATTTGTGCAAGTAGGAAGCAAGTCGTACTATATGAGGAAGGTGAAGTTAACAAATTAGTATAGATCTGGTGGAACATGGGTAAGACATTGGCTTAGTATTTGGAAGGTACCGGGTTCGAGACCACGGTGTCTTTTGTCAATAGAAATTGAAAAAGGAATAAATAAATACGATTTTTCTGCAGCTATAAACCAAGTTGTAGAATATGAGGAGGATCGCAGAAGACTTCAAAATAGATGTTGTGGTGGCCTAGAGGTAAGGCACCGGCGAAGAAAATGAAAAGTACGTGGTTCGAAAACAGAAGAATTTTTGTAAAGATATTTTTCTGGAATTATATAGCGAGATGTAACATAAGAGGAAGATTAAAGTTTAAAATTTCCGTGGCATTGATGGCCTATTGGTAAAATACTGGCCTAATGTGACGGAGTTCCAAGGTTCGGAACCAACGAAAGTTTTATAAAATACAAGTGGAGTTAATAAGATTTTTCTGGAATTATAACCGAAGATGTAGCTTAAGAGGAAGATTAAAGAAAACAAATTTCAGTGATGCTCGTGGCTTAGGGGTAAGACATCAACTTAGTGTTCAGAAGGTCCCGGGTTCAAAACCAGTAGGATTTTTGTGAAAAATGAAATGGAAAAGGAGTTAGGAGATAGGGTAAAGGAGGAGGGAGAGATAGAGGGAGGGACCGGGGTGAGGGAAGAATTTTTCTTTTTTTTTGCGGCCGCTCATTAAGACACTCAACCTAAGCGGGTTTTATTAAAATCCACATGGGATCAAAAATAAAAAAAACTTTGGCCCACCTTCCGCCCACCAACCACCCGCCCTTAGGGGGTGACTTTGACTTATTCATTTGAGACCAAGTTCTATGAGCGGGCGTTAGCAACAAATTGTATAATAACTGCAGCGCATTCTGTTGACAAAAACCTCATGGAAAGCCACGAAGTGAAGTATACAATGTAACATCTTAATTACATATGAGCTCACTTACTGGGCTGTGCCAAGCCGCTCCTCCAAAAATTCATTTTGTAGTGGTAGGGCGCCAGTCACTGAGGATGACATTGTGGAACCGAGGCAACCCGCCCATGCCCACCCTTACGGTCATGCGGGATTGTAAATACTCGACAACCAGCTACATTACCGAGAGTTAACAAGAAATTAATAAACCCTGCAGTGCCATCTGTGGATTGGAACCTGAACCTGTGGAGTAATGTTCAGGTTTCAATCCACAGATGGCACTGCAGGGTTNCCGAACCTTGGAACTCTGTCACATTAGGCCAGTATTTAACCAATGAGCCACCATTGCCACGGAAATTTTTTACCTTTAATCTTCCTCTTATGTTACATCTCGCTATATAGTTCAAGAAAAATATGATTACAAAAATTCTTGCGGTTTCGAACCATGGACCTTTCATTTACAATGCCGGCACCTTACCTCTAGACCACCTTAACATCTACCATAAACACGTATGCAATCGTCCTCATATATTGCGACTTGGTTAAAGCTGCAGAAAAATCGTATTTATTTATTCCCGTTTCAATTTCTATTGACAAAAGACACCGTGGTCTCGAACCCGGTACCTTTCAAATACTAAGCCAATGTCTTACCCATGTTCCACCAGATCTATACAAATTTGTTAACTTCACCTTCCTCATATAGTACCACTTGCCCCCCACGTGAACAAATATCTTCCATTTTTTTCACAAATATAGTCCTGTCTTCAAACCCCGTGTGAACACAATTGACACAGATATCTGACTCACCGATGCTGAGACATAAAACAAAGGTCTTGTGTCAAAAACATTTCGTAACATCATAATTTTCCTGAAGATATCAATCACTATATAAAGTCAGATGCGTCCTTGCGCATGCTCCATGAATACATATAAGGGAGTGAAAATTTGCACACATTCAGCAACAGATGAGGGCAAGTGTTTAACCCTTTAAACCCCGGTACTTAATATATATACCTTATTTACGCATGTATAGGCCGCAGCACAATTTTCAGACAGAAGTTATAGAAAAGATAATTTTCTTGGAATATCATTTCAGGAGTAGAAATTATTCCGAAATTTGGCAACGTTAATTTTTTTTTAAATGAAGTGTGATTTCGAATATAAGCCGCACCCCAGTTTTCCTCTTGCATTTTTGGTAAAAAATGTGCGGCCTATACATGCGTAAATACGGTGCGTACCACAAGCTTTAAGGTTCTAAATCTCTGCATCCTGCCCACACAGTGTATCTGTGTGTTCTGTATGGTTCTCACAGTAAACAGCATTAACCGGTTGGTCTCCATAGCGGAGATTTAATCCGTTTCCTGTGAGGCACGGGCTTCATTTGTATATTATTCAGAATAAATACTCGGTCTTTGAATGGTTAATATCACACTCAGTTGCCATTGAAGACCGGAAAATAACTGACGATTAATTTGGAAGGACCTCAGAGCCGGCTCGACCTTGGTGATCACATAGTGGAAGAAACACCGCAGATCATGAAAACAAAACTGGTGACAATGGGTGACCTAAGACAGCATGGTACTATAAATCTACGTGATAAGTTAAATAAACACCAAGAGGAAAAATTGAAAGATCTGAGGTCAGTGTGGATATAAACATGCTATTTTTTGGCTTATTTCACAGCGCTCTCAGTAGCTCACATCATATGGGGTCCCGACCTGTCTACCGCGTGTTGTAATCTGCAGCTGGGTACGGTGAGGATATGTTAGCACATCGACAAACACCTATCCTACTGCTTATTCTGTGCGTTCAAAGCAACCAAAATCTGAATATTTTCAGCAGCTGCAGCCAAGGCCTTATAAAAAATGTAAGGCTATCCCTGTAACAGGTCCTGAAGACCTATAGGGTTGTGAGACATCGAGGATTCCACATTTTTCTCTAGACAGTCAGGTGGCGGTAAGGTTGTCAGGCTTATACGCCTACACAGGGCTTTATGTCCTTCAATAAAATATTACAGTTTATCCACCTTTAAACGCCGGACTTTTGAAATGGTAGTAAGCTTAAGCTGGCCGAAGTTTATTTAATTGCCCGTAGTTACTCTGCGTGTAAATGTCCGTTCCTGTTAGGGCGCTTAAACAATTTTAAGCATTGTGTTTAAAAATGCTGTATCTAACATAATTTTTATGATAAATGGATGGAATTAACTTTTTTTGTATCAGCAAAGAAAAAAAATAGTGTCGCCTATTATAATCGAAGATTTGAAAATTTATACGAAGAAATATACTCTTTTTTCCATTTTTTTTCTTTTAATTTTGAAACGTACTGCAAAAATATTTTCCCAGTACTTCACAGAGTTGTTCTGCATTATAAATTCATTTCTGTTGGTTACACTTGACAAATTTTAGCAGACCCTGGTTTCATAAAACAGATGGAAGCAATTAAATCATTTGGTTCTCTGCTGGGAAACCTTACATCTTGTTACACGCTTCAGATTTTCGAATCTTTTGACTAAAGGACAGAAGAATGAAAGAATGGCTATTCAAGAAAAAGAGCTAGAGAGGTCCCTTCTTCAGTGCTAAGACCTCCCGTTACAGCTGCACGAGATTATTGCCCTTTCTACGGTCGTGAACAGACGGTTGTTATCATGGCTGAGATACAGAGTGCGATCTGTTTTCTGTGCGTTCATAGTGACATCGAATTCTGTGGTTTCATTTCAGCCTATATATACATCAAGCAGATAACAACAAAAAAGGTATGTACATCGAATTTTGCTATATAGTTTTAACACATTAATCTGCAGAATCAGCAATAAAAGTACTGGCTCGTGGATGAGTTTGGGCAGAACTTATATGTATATTCTTTTTTGCTGTTCTTCACTTAGGTATCATTTTAATTCCTCTATTAGGGTTTTGCTCAAGCCTGTCTGGTAACTACTACATATAAAAATAAATATTTAGAACTGTGCATATGCTTCCACTAGCGGAGTTTAAATGCCCGACTGGCCAAAACAGGTTACTTTGGCCACGATGAATATATACTCATCACTGGCACAAACTGGGCACTTCGGACGTTAAAGGTTAACTTCATTAGTGTTCAGCCCGCGTCTGGGGCCTACTAGCTTCCCAAGAAGTGGGTATCGAGACCTCTATTTTCAGGGGTAATGTGGGTGCCACGTGAATTTGGCCACCCACCAGAAATTCAAAATACATGGAGTTGTATTTCTACTTCTCCATACGTCTTCCACAAGAAGTGGGTATCGAGACCTCTATCTCAAGAGGTAAACTGGCCACCCACCAGAAATTCAAAATACATGGAGTTGTATTTCTACTTCTCCATACGTCTTCCACAAGAAGTGGGTATCGAGACCTCTATCTCAAGAGGTAAACTGGCCACCCACCAGAAATTCAAAATACATGGAGTTGTAGTTCTACTTCTCCATATGTCTTAACCTCTTCCCTCACACAACTACCCTTGTGGGTCACTCGGCTATTTAAAACACTCCAGACCAAGCTAATTCACGAGAGTTAAGAAAATATGAAATAAACCCGTAGCGCCATCTGTGGACTAAAACGTCATGAAAGCCACGAAGTGCAGTAAAAAATCAAAAGGAGCGTACGGTGTGGTATGTTTACGGACGATTTGGTGTCAGTAATAATACGGATTTGTAAAGCTGTTTTTGCCTATTATTAATCGACAGGAAATAGAAGTAAGCTGATAGAAAAGAATTAAGTCTGTTTAATATTTATGTTTTTTATTGTTCGATCGGTGTCTCGGCTCTCAAGGGTTTGTAGCTCAGTTCTGGACTTTTATTGTGTGAAATGCACGAGAACCTAGCTTAAAACTGTATGAATTAAATGACTTGCAAATAAACTTGGATTTCAGCACTTGTACTTGCAAGTCATGTAGCAGGGAGTTGTTATATAAGCGCGTAGTGACTTATCTCCAAGTAGTTGTGGCGTTACAGCAAGTTGTTATATGTGAAATCGAAGAGAAAGGCAAGCGAAACATAACCTACTTTTAATGTCACTTGTACTTACGAGAGCTTGCATATATTTTCACAGACTGCGAAGACTTCAATGCTGAAAAGGAAGCATAGCAAAATGAATGCCACGGAAACAGTAGACCAATTATTAAAAGATCATAGAGTAACCATCTTCAGTAAATCTTATTGCCCGTTTTGTATTAAAGTAAGTGATTATTTATATAATTTTATGAATATTTTATCGCCCATATGTATTCTAAACGCCTTCCCAAGATTCGGCAAGAAATCCCAGAAAACGGAAGTTTTTAGTTTAATTTTATTCTTAGGGTGGGGTGTGAGACTGAGTCACAGAATGGTCCATTGTAGAATTATACCATCCCCTAATAAAAGATTAGAGGAGTGGAGCATTTTGTGGAATGAGAAATTACAGGGGAAACGGAGATACTCAGAGGAAACCTGCCTTAGTGCACTTTTGACCAGAAGTCCAAGAAAATTGGAAGATAAAAAAGTGTGGTACTTGTATGTAACATTTAATATTTATAAACGTTTGTGTTAAGATGTATTTTTACTGTTGACCATAGAGTGGTGGAATGTTCCGTGATCTTTCTCATACAGAGAACTTCTGACAAGTTTGTAGGCTGTGTTTTGGAGTGTTAACAAGGTTATGTATTACAAATTATAAATCACTCCGTCCAATGTGACCTGTAAGTTTTTTGCTACATGAAAACTTAACACCCTTACATGTTTCGGTCTCTGTGGACCATCTTCAGAGGGCAAACATCACTACAAATAGGAAACCACTATCACATAATTTGTTTACACGCAAAGTATGTACACTTATATGTTACAACACACAGTACACAGAATAGAACGTTTCACAAACACAGCAGTTTCCCGGGAATGTAAGTTTTAAAAATGTATAAGATTCCTTGATGCTAATTAAAAGTTTTTTAGATTGTCAGTGATTAAAATTCATAAACCATGCAGGCTCATGGGAGTAAAAAACTTACAGGTCACATTGGACGGAGTGATTTATAATTTGTAATTGTTATTGTGACGGACCAGAATGAAACAAATCAAAAGGTTATGTATCTTGAAATTTTTGGAAAGAAGTACTTTTTTATTGTAATTAATGAGATAACAGATTCTTTAAACATTACTCTGACATACAGCAGTCTCATATGTTTTATCTCAGTGCTTTGCCCCGTCATCCCAGAAAGAGATTTCGGGACACCTGAGTGTCGCGGCATTTGAGTAGCCGCACATGTTCATTTGCGAACCAGCATAACACTAATGTGTCCTTACATAAAACTGTACCACTTCTTTGTTTTCCTTTTTTTTTTTTAATTTTTCACAGATGAGATAAATTTGGCAGGAAACTGAGGATATTTCATAATTTGGAACTGTGTGTTTTGTGTCAGTCACCTAGTAGTGTTAAGGTTGGTTAATCTTGGAGGCACTGGCAGGACACATAACTTGGATGAAGAAAAGGTGATTCTATTGAATACTATTAAGATTAACTGACTGGACATAAACAACAAAACCTGAATTTAATCACGAAGAAATATGGTGGCATAAAAAAAGCCTTAAAACATGGAATTGTACGTGTAAGCATACAGAGTCCTGGTGGAGAAACCTTTAGAAACGTGGAAGGTGGATGGACTCCAATTCATTTCAGCTGCACTGGTTTGAAGAAATTAGAGTTCGTAACATGAGCTTCTGAATGGCTCATAGGAAATAGTCTGTGGTAATGGGGACTGTGGCCTAGAACTTGTTAGTGTCAGGTCTTGTTTAAGTTGTGGTTATGTTTAATTAATTTCATAGTTGGTGTGCTACTATCCTTACACTGGTGTTTTGTGAATGAAATTAATTGGAGATAAGTAACTGTAAACATAATGATATTCAGAAATTTTTTAATGACTCATTCCAACCTTAGAAACTACTTCAGAGGAACATGGACACACTTTACCTGACTTCAGTGACTCCTAAATTGCATTAATTTTAAGGGCATAAATATTATACTTTCTAATAGTTGAAATAATTCCTACTAGAATCAAAATAACATTCATTAACCAGCCACTGTTAGAGCAACAGTTATCAAGGCTGCAACTCATAATGCTTAGATTGTAAAAGTGTAGAAATAACAATAGAAGCAACACATTCCAGTTAAATGTTGATCCATATCTAGCAAACTGCATTGCATTATATAGGATTTTAGGTTTTCCCAGTGGTGGATATGGAGGCATTATGTACCAGAAGATAGAACTCTACATGGCTTCACATTCCAGAAAACAGTCATCACAGTTTTCCTTTCAGAATGTCGAATGAATGAATGAATGAATGAATGAATGATTGAATGATTGAATAAGGGGTGGGCCTTGGGCCTTGCACCGCGACCTACAGTGATCTATTGTGCTTACCCTTTTGATTATCCCCTTAACAATCCTGCGCTTCAAATGAAGCATACGATTTTGTACGTAGGGGTGTCGAAATAGTCACTTGGTTCCATAAAGTATTGACCCAAGTGACGTAATCTTAAATAAGCTAAGGCCTCACATTCACACAGGATATTTCAGAATGTTTCTGCATAATATTACATTGTTGTTTTTATATATTTGCAGGTAAAAGGTCTGTTCGACTCAATACACATTGAGTATAAGGCACTTGAGTTGGATTTAATAGGAGGTTAGTATGTCCGAAGATTATCTATATATCTATTGATGCTAACTCGGTAAATTGGGAAGTGTAAAGATAAAGCACTCATGTTTTTGTAAAAAGCAATTCTCTTAGTTCTATTAAGCAATAAAAATTAAAAAGAATGGTATGTTAGTTCCCCTTTTCTTATCCGTATCCAAGTCACGCTTTTCACTCTACCCAATTGTCACTCCTCCATCTGCACCCCAATATGAAGTGTGTCCTTTACACTTATGCCTCAAATTAAAAATGTCACGAGCTGGTAACAGATCTGCTTTAGAAAGAAATTTATGAAATTGTAAAGTCAATGTGAAATCATGCATGGAACAAAATGCAAAAATTGTCACTTGTCACAAATTTGTATGTAAACTAGTTTCATCTATCCTAAGATCATAAGTGAACACAAATCCTCAGTGTCACACATTTACATAAACTGAAGCACATGTAAATTAAGAAATGTAACCACACAAATATCCGTGTCATGTTCGAAGGTCATTGATTTCCAGAAGGATCAATTTCTTTAATTTATTATTAAAAAATTAACCTCTCTGTAGTTGAATATTCCCTAACCTTATTTCTTCTATTTGCACAATTTTCCTGGGACTCCACTCTTCAAGGATTTCAGTGCATATCTCCCAGCAGAGGTTTTACCAATTTAAGACTCTACCTGAACTGATGCGTAGTCTCATCATGGCATTAGAATGCAGTCAGATGTGCAACAGGACAGCTTTACTTGTTAGAATTACTATTACCTCTCAAACGATGTTTCTTTCCCTGTGTTTGATAGGAGGTCTCCTTCCTGAATTCATATGTGACACCTTCTTTGAAATTATTCTGACCTTGCAATACTACAGATTTTGTATCATAACAGACCAGGCACCAAATAGACCTAGGTCATAAATGTGATGAACAGTATTTTCATTCTCCCCTTCACCAAACTTAAATATGTTTCCTAATGTCTCCTACTTAAGTAAAATGTACATAACTGTTTTGCCATAATGCTACTATTCCTCTAAAGTTTAATCCTTTTTCCTTTAAAGAATATGAAATATCAGTGGAAGACATCTGAAAGACAGGAAGATTCCATATTTTGTGATATCCTTATCAGGTGAAATAGGCCTGATCTGTGAAATGAGCATGATTATGATGATGGCAGTGAATGTGATAACTTTCAGAATCCAAAAGAAAATAGCATTCCGTTAACAACAATCTGTAATTCATATTTTTATTGGTTCCAGAAATCCACATTTTGCAATACAGCCTCCAGATATAGAACAAGTCAAATTATTTGTATAAAAGTCAACAATACTATAATATTTAACTACATGCACAAATTGTTTACATGTCCAACTACCATATAAAACTATATTAAAAATTTAAGACAACATAAATGCCCCAACAGAGTAACCAGTTCAATCCATTTCACATCAATCAATCAATCAGTCGATCAATCAACCAATTCATTCTTCCTTCCTCATCAAATCACTGTCATAGGAAACGTTCCATACACATTAAACATACAATAGTTCAATTTCTATAATTAAAAATAAATACCTCCCTTTCACAAACATACCATCTTTAATTTAACATATATTCCTCTACAGAATAAAACATATGTTGTACCAAATATGACCTCATTACTTTTTTAAACTGTCTCATTTTTTCTATCTCCCTAATTTTATTTGGTATTTTATTGTATAATTTTATTCCCATGTTCAGTACTCCTTTCTTATAGGCATTTGTTCTGCAAAACTGAGCATGGAGTTTTAACCTGGCATGTATTGTGATTATGAACTATGTTAATTTGTTCTAACTTTTCTAAATGTAGTTTAACATGGCATACTATTCCAAATATATACATACAAGGTAGTGGAAGTAGGTTTAAATCCTAAAAAAGTTGTCTACATGATGCTAATCTACTCACACTACTAATTATTCTAACAATTCGTTTCTGAAGTTTAAATATAATTTTACTTTTTGGGTCGCTACCTCAGAAAATTAAACCATACTTCAAATAAGCATGGAAGTGAGCAAAGTAAATACTCCTTATAACCTGTCTGTTACATCCCCAAGGGATTTTATCATGTAACAGACTTTATGAAGTTTTGAGCTTAAGAACATCATATATGCTTTCCACTCCATATGCTCGCCAACATCTGGTTATTTCACATTTATAGATCTCCATTTTACCAAATTTGATTTGAGGTTTCATCAAATCTCTTTCATGTCTATTATGAACTGCCATTGCTGTTGTTTTCTCAGTATTCAATATAAGATTATTTGCATTGAACCATCCATATAACTCATTCATGGCTGTATTTAACTTTTGCTGCAGGATATGTCCCTTTTCAGCTGATACCAGAATATTTATATCATCTGCAAACAAAACTATCCTCACCTCTTTGATATTCAAAGGCAGATCTTTTATGTATAATAAAAATAATAATGGTCCAAGCACTGAACCCTGTGGTACTCCATATTTAATTTCTCTTGGAGCCGATGTATATTTTTTGCCATCACAACTTATTTCAACAACTTGCTTCGGGTAAGCCAAATATGATTTAAACCATAAGTTTGCCACACCTCTAACTCCATATGTTTGTAATTTAGAAAGTAAGGTGTCATGATTTATGGCATCATATGCTTTAGTTAAATCACAAAAAATTCCGACCCGTTTTTCTTTTTTCTCAGCTGATTCCTGTATGTTTACTAGAAAAGAGTAAATTGCAGTCTCAGTCGACCTATTCATCCTAAATCTATGTTGTGTCACTGTTAATGTGGTATTTCTTGTCAAAGGAGAGTAACCTATTATGCATCAACTTTTTCCAAGATTTTCGAGAAAGCACACAAAGGATATTGGTCTATAATTTTTCATATCCTTCTTGTCTCCCTTGTGCCCCTTTGTTTTATTTGCTAATAATAAATATGTCTTCAGGGCACAGTGAAGGCCCAAAGAGCTACATCTCATATCTCACTCAGACTTTCCAGGTAATTTTGCTCTTATGGACATTTATACAGGATTCCAAGGCCTTGAAGTAAGTCACTTAAATATGGTATTAAGCGGGTAAGTATTGAGAGGGTATACATCATTATTATATATTGATAACACGATTATATTTATTATTATTTAACTGCAAATGGGTTTTCACCCGGTGGCAGTGGTACTACAATAAGACAGACAAATAATACACATAAACACTTTCAAACAAAACAGAGCCCACAACATTAGTAGAGAATTGACATAATGTACAATAAACTAACAGCAATGAATGCGTAATGTTATGTTCTAATTTTCCCTTCATTTCGCTTTACTACACTACTACACTAATCCTCCCATCCTTAACACTTCTCACTTCACTTTAATCATGATTTTTGAATTTCAGAAAAAATTGATAATGATAGGATGTTTACTTACCCTGTTGTGTCATGTTACAGAAGATGGAGTTGCAATACAACAAGCTCTTTTTGAAAAAACGAAGCAGAAAACTGTACCAAATGTGTTTGTTAATGGAAAGCATGTTGGAGGTTGCGATGCAACAATCCAAGCCCATGCAGATGGTAGACTGGGTGAATTATTGTCTGGTGTGCATTATGACTTTGACCTCATTGTCATTGGTGGTGGGTCAGGAGGACTTGCAGCCTCAAAAGTAAATAATTGTTTTGAGCTGTATTATTTTATTCATGCATTATTATTTTGATTGTTACTGGTGCAATTTAAATCTGAAAGTTTGTTGTTTTGTAAACAGCATAGTATAGCCAGGGCATAAAATGGATTAACTGGAAGTCATAAAAGGTTGTAAAAATTCATAGCAGTTAATTACATGGAATTCTTGATTCCTGTTGAGTCACTGAAGTGTTTGCCTTTCAGACACATTAAGAAGCTCTAAAGTGGTCTATAAGTAAAGAGCACATTCTTCAAATGTGGAAGAGTAAAATAATGTTTTTCTCTGTTGACCTTGGAAACTGAAGCATGAAGTGTTATGTTTTACTGATGCTCATATGAACATATTGTGTTGCACAAGAACTCGACATGGTTGAGCCATAAGCAAAAATGAAGTACATTTATGAAAATTGAGAACTGAAGAAAAATTGAAAGATTTCAGTGAATGTAATGAATTTCCATAGTGCTGATGTGATATGTTTCATCATTCCTTCAGGAAGCAGCTTCAATTGGTAAGAAGGTCGCAGTGTGTGACTTTGTGGTGCCATCCCCACAGGGAACCACATGGGGGCTTGGTGGCACATGTGTCAATGTGGGTTGCATCCCAAAGAAATTGATGCACAAGGCAGCAATAATAGGAGAAGACTTGAAGGATGCCGCAGCATTTGGTTGGCAAGTACCAGAACAAGGTATATATTAATTCTGCATTGTGATTAGCAGTCAAGAAGACAATTCAAGTCTCAGCACATTTTTCTTCTCTCTGTATAAGCTTTCAGTGGCTAGTGCAATGTATAATTTTATTGTTTCAGTGTTACACGACTGGTCGAGTATGGTGGATGAAGTTCAGAAGTATGTCAAGTCTTTGAACTTTGGCTATCGTAAAGTGTTAAGAGAAAGGAGTGTCACCTATCTGAATGCTTATGCACAGTTTGTCGATGCTCATACTGTAAAAGTAAGTTTATGATTTGATCATGACTGAAGTTTATCTGAGTAAGATTTAACAGTTCAGTTCCCAGTTAGAGAAACCGACTGGTTAATGCTGTTTACGAAAGTAATTGCCATTTATTCTGAGAAAAATAAGCTAAATAATATTTTAGTATTCAGTTTCTGCCTCATAGAAAACATGCTGCATCTCAATTATGAGGACCAGTTGGTTAACATTGTTAAGGGAAATAATTGCTGATTATTCTGAGAATCGTAAACACATGAAGAACCTGTATGGAAAAAGTGCAGGGTTTTTTAATGTTATGGCATGTGGTGCACCTAATGACCACTGCTCTTCAAATAGGTAATTTAAAAGTAATTCAAGTAATGATGCAAATGTCTTCAGATTGTTCTAATGATATGTAGGGTCAAAAGTACTTGTTACTTGATGTGTAGGTAAAGGGTTGTTAATAGAGAGACCACCTGCTTGAAAACATGCAACGATTCACCAGCATAATAATCATGTGAGTTTTGGGTATAGCAATGTTGCTAATTATGTGCCATAATAGTGACCGTGGGCAATATGTAGGACAGTGATAATGGACAGAAATGTGGCAATTTAGAACTACAAGTTTCAGCGTAAGTTATATTGAAATGACCCATATAAAATTCATGACAGGAATGACATAAGCTGTATGCCTCACATCAGGTAATTTATAAGTTTACATTATTTTGGTCCATTCCTAATGGAAATTAAAGAAAGGTCTTTGGCTGCACCGTTTTGAAGATAGACATATTCTACAGGATTTTTAGCTAGTGATATGAGTTGATAAATATTAAAATTTCAGAGGATTTGGCATAAATGAAATGAAAGTTGGATAGCAAAGATTTAAATTAGATAGTTAATTGGTTTAGAGAGTTATTTCTGCAAACATAAATATACTTTTCGACAGTCCTCTGTGTGCACAATAAACTTCAGGTGAAGAATTTGTGGCCTGTCTCTTAGTCAGGGGTACAGTTCCTGGTTAGAGGATTTTTTTTTCTGATTTCATACTGTATTCTCCACTAATATCACAAAATGTGCATTCCTTTTGGGGAGGGTGCTTCCCAAATGAGATACTGACTGGTGGACCAGCTGTCTTGTGTTTGCTCTCAGTTCAGTCATGCATATAACCATCTGCAAATCTGGTCATTCTTATTTAATAGAGTTTAATCCCTGCATCTGACACAATGTCATTAAATAAACTAAAAGTAAGGTATTGTTTGTAGTGATATTTCATTGTTGGCTTGTGATTATTAAGACAGAGCCGCAGCAAATGCTGAGCTAGTAAGACAGATTGATTCGTACATAGACTGATAACTTCAGAATATTAGGATGTATTTACATTTCATGAAATTGAATACAATCCAGCTCCATTTGCCAGTGTGATTACATCTTTAAACTACATACAAGGATTGTACAAAATAATGGAAACACTAGAGATACAGCATACATTGCTTTATTAATATGGTGTTGGGCTTCCCTTTGCCTTCAGTACAGCTGCAGTCCTTCTTGGAATGGACTCATACAAGTTTTGAACAGTCTCTAGCTGAAATGTATACCATTATTCTTGAAGAACATCTACAAGTTTCTTTAGAGATGTTGGAGGTGGGAATCTGTTCCTCACTCTGGTCTCCAAAACTGACTTGAGTGGTTCATGCTGTTCAGACCATGACTGAACAGTTCCAGCTGTTTGATTTTGGGCATTCCCGTCTTGGAAAACTGCACTGTTGTTCAGAAATAATGTTAGGATCATGGGATGCATGTGATTACCGAACTTGTCTGCATACTCCCATGCAGTATTTTGGCCATGAAGTGTCATAATGGGACCAAAAGGAAACCATGACACTGCCGCCCAAACTGTCACAGAACCCCCGTGTTTCACTGTAGGAATGGGGTATTCCAAATTGTAGTCTTCCTTGGATGTTCTCCAAACATAAACTCATCCTGATGTAGGGAACAGCGTAAAGGACTACCCATCTGACCATATCGCCATACCATGCGGTTCCAGTTGAGTGATGTCCAGGTCGTGACACCATTTACATGCCTGAGCATTACTTTCAGTAGTGAGAGGTTTAGCAGTTCCAGCCCTACCATGGATTTGTGTTGTATTTGTGAAGCTCATGTCAGACAGTTTTTATGCAGGCAAGGTGGCTACTGTTAGGGTTTGATCCCTGGTCTGGTCAAGTGGGATTTGTGGCGGAAAAAGTGGCACTGGGGTGGGTTTCCTCTGAGTACGTTGGTTTCCCCCGCGAATCTTCATTCCCCCAAATTCTCCATCATCATAATCACCCGGGGCAGGTACAATAGGCCAATCAGTGGCTGCCGTGCTGAGTGGAACCAGTTGGACTCCACCCCCTACTAAGCGAATTTAATTTTACCTGTAGTTACAAATTGTACATATTCATTAAATTCAATTAACATTCCAAACCCCATGTCTAGTCACTAACACATGACAATATTACCATCTTCCTAATAAATGCTGGTATCTGCCTTCCAGTCACCGACAGGATCTCATTACACAGAAGACTACAGTGTGAATATGCAGGTCTGTGATAACGTCAGATCTTAAATTTGCATAATTTTGTTTTATTTTTAGGTGACTGATAAGAAAAATAAAATACAGCATATAACTGCAAGAGATTTCATTATAGCTGTTGGAGGACGACCCAAATACCCTGATATACCAGGAGCAAAAGAATATGGCATAACATCGGATGATTTGTTTTCCCTTAAATACCATCCAGGAAAATGCCTGGTTGTGGGTGCTTCATATATTGCTCTGGAATGTGCAGGGTTTCTTCATGGAATTGGTGTGGACTGTACAGTCATGGTGAGTTGAGAACAGTACAATAGAGGAACCTACAGCATAATGTAAACTGCAGGGATTCTGACTTTCAAAAAGTTTTTACATTTGTCACAGATGAGAGAAGGAAAAGCTTATGGAAAAATCTGCACTGAAACCTGAAGCTGAGATGTTTTGTTTGGATGTTCATTGCCTTACCTCTAGGCAGTAATGTTCCATATTTTTAACGTGAAGTGTTTTCTTACATCGTAGCTTTATCCTGTCTCACTGTGTAGGACGAAGCATTGTAATGTATCTGTGTTTGCTGTTGTATACCATAGTCATTTATAACAGTGTTGTACAGTAGCAATAGAACTAACTCTTTTTCCTTTTAATGAATTTGTGACTGTGTAATAGTTTCCACAGTTACCATACACTGAGGGGCACGCGGTAGTGTAGTTGGTTGAGGCAGTGTGCTACAAGCTGGAAGGTCGCGGGATTGAATCCCAATGAGGTGGATTTTTTCAATTTACCTAATCCTTCCAGCTGCACTATGGCCTTGGGGTTGACTCAGCCTGTAACAGAAATGAGTACCAGGAATATTCTTGGGGGTAAAGGGCGGATGGCAGGTAAGGCTGAAAACCTTACCACCATCTATGAACCGATTGTCTAGAAAATATGGGAACCTCAACATTTCATAATCCTATGGGCCTCCACTGCCTATTACAGGGATACCTTTACCTTTTTTTTTTACCATACACTGTATAAGATTTATCACATATTTTAATGTTAAAGAATGGAAGGAAAGGAATTAAATATTATTATTATTATTATTTATGTATTTAAACTGCAAATGAGTTTTTACCTGGTGGCAGTGGTACTGGAATAAGACACAACACATAAATAACACACATCACACAAAATAACACGCCACACTCAAACAAAGCACAGCACACAAAACTACACAAACAATAAAGGAGACACTACACACAGTGAATAGAGTTACAACTACGACAAATACAGTTACAACCGCGCTTATATAAATGTTATAAATCATTCACGTTTTTACTGTTTGATGACTGTTTGAGTAAGTCTAAATCTCTATTAGATGACAGTGGCCTGTGAACTTCCAACTATAGAATTTCATATCACTTGCGGATTTAGGGAATTGGTGCATGACTGGTATTTGCATATCAGTTCATACAAATGCATCAGTATGACTGCAGAATTGGATGACAGGTATATATTGAGTAGGAATGTTGAATTAGTTTTATTGCAATTGCATGGTAACTAAAATAACAGGTCGACACAAGTAGATTGTGTCATTAGTTAATCAGTCTGCAGTGACATGATATATTTTATATGTGGGAAATTAAATAATCCAAATATGTAAAATCATGTAGTACTCGTACAGTATGGGGAAACAGAGGTTGGAGGGCCCACCCGATGCTTCAAACAATGCTTATGATGTTGGTATACACATGTCTGACTGTTATGGAGGTGCAGTACCTTCATTGAATATTGACAGGGTATGATTATATTGAGATACTATGTTAGAATAAACAAGAACTGGTTTATTTCCTCCGATCTTTACTTATTCAGAATTCTTGATCATCCAAATAGTTCGCAGTGTTTCCAAAAATATAAAAGCTAGAAAATGACAAGTGGTAGTTAATGAATTGTGTGTTAGTTTTGTAATTGTGCTTATATGCATTCACAAGATGGAGGTGAAGAAATAGTATTGCAACTGCTCTGAAAGAACCATGGATGATGATGAACTTATCCCCTTTCTTCCTGCTTTTGTATTCCATGCTAGCACCCTGTGGCTTATATCAACTAGCCAAAGGCACTTGTCACTAGCAAAGATCATCTGTACTGATATTCATATGAACAGGAGGGTCACATGACTGGCTGGAGTAGAGGGAAGTATGCTGAAGGCAGAAGTGTAACAGCTGGGGAGATATGTGGAGGAGGTTGATCCATGAGACACACTCTTGGTGTGATTATTGTTTCAAACTTTGGAGGACTTTCTGTATCCCATTTTCATGTGATTTATTTCTTCATCTCAGGATATTTAAAATTTATGTTACTGTATGTCATTCTGTGGACCACCTTTGTGGTCTAGTGGTCGGAGTTCCTGGCTACAGATCCAGAGGTCTGGGTTCGATTCCCGGCGCTACTAGATTTTCTGAGAAGTAGTGGGTCTGGAACGAGGTCCAATCAGCCTCGTGAGGATAACTGAGGAGCTATATCAAGGAAATAGTGACTCCGGTCTAGAAAACTGAACTTAACAGCTGTGGGGATTCGTTGCTCTGACCACGCAACACCTTCTAGACACTAAAGTTGGCACTGACTTTGTCAACAAGCGGTGGTTGCTCAGTCAGTATAGTTCGCTTGCAGATTAAAACCACGTAGTTTGTTTGTATGTCATTCTGTTGTGTATGTATTGTTGCATGCACATGAATGTATTTTTTATGCATGCCTGTGTTTTTTTCTAAAATTAAACATTGCTCTGATTTATTTTTGTCATAAAGTTAGTAGATGTGGTGGCAGTGTTTGTGTAGCATTAGTCGTAAACATAAACACACAATACAGTACCTTGCTGATAAACTCTGTTTCTTCACCAATTGTCAATAGATTATCCGTCAAGTGCAACAATATATATTTTGGTCACTTATTTATCTCGTCTGCCTTACATGTTTCGGTTCCAAGGAACCATCTTCAGAGGCACTTACAACAAATCATGACATAATCATCATAATCTATTGACAGTTGGTGATTAATAGTGTAACAGACCAAAATGAAACAATTCTGTTTCTTCAACTGTTATTTTTCAAGTTCTGAAGCCTCAGATTTGAATCAAATTTTATGCAAGAAATTCTTAACAGAAGTATCTTGAGAAACTATGGTTTGCGCTATTTTTTCCAGTTTAAACCAGCATTTAGTTTTGAGATGGAAATGAGCCTTTGTAGTTGTATTCTTAAGTACATACAAAATTGCAGAGTATTTTAGTGGCATAAATATGTGAATAGCATTGTGTATTTTCTTATGCTCGGGCATTTTTGAGGTGTTAACTTGCCTGGCAGCTTTTATCTATCCACTCTTGTTTCTGTGGCTGTTCTAGCTTATTTGAAGGTGCTTCTCCAGCAGTAGCTTACAAGAAATGAGAAAAATCATGGAAACCTTGTCAGAACTCTCATAAATGGAAAAGTAGCATTATGCAGTATTCAGTTGTATTATTTTCAGTTATTATTTCCTTCAGGTGCGAAGTATATTGCTTCGTGGGTTTGACCAGCAGCTTGCAGAGATGATTGGCGAGCACATGACAGAACATGGTGTGAAGTTTATAAGACCATGTGTTCCCACAAAGGTTGAGAAGGTTTCTGATGGTAAACCAGGTTTATACAAGGTACTCAGCAATTTATTTTAGATATTAAAAAATAGAAGTAAAGTTAATTGAAATTGACTGTAATATAAAAGTAACTTGGGGGCACGCAGTAGCGCAGTTGGTTGAGGGGCTATGCTACAAGCCGGAAGGTCGGGGGTTCAAGTCCTGATGAGGTCATTGGATTTTTTCAATTGACCTAAGCCTTCTAGCTGCACTATGGCCCTGGAGTTGACTCAGCCTCTAACAGAAATGAGTACCAAGGATTAATTAAATAATTTTCCTGGGGAGTAAAGCGTGGCTGGCGTGTAAGGCTGACAACCTTACCACCATCTTTGAGCCGATTGTCTAGATAATATGGGACCCTCAGCGTCTCACAACCCTATATGCCTTCATGGCCTGTTACAGGGATAGCTTTACTTTTTTTTTTTGTAAAAGTGTGGAAAAAAGGTAAAAAACTGTGGAAAAAAACAAAAGTAATGAAAATTTTGAGACAACCAACTCCAGTCACAATAAAGATAGACCAAAAACAACTGGAGAATGTGAAATGTTTTAAATATTTGGGTAGCTTGTTAATAGATGATGGAAGGTGTACGTGTGAAATTAA